TTAAAAAATGCAGGGTCAGTGTCGTGGCAAGGTCAATATTTACATGATATTTTTTTAAATATATCAGTTTAAACATATCTTTGTTAGGGAACAAGGCTTTGTGATGACTCTTCTGTTTCTCCTGCGAGGTTCCACTGGCTCGGGTATTTACATAGACTTTGAGTGGCCAACTGTTGAAATGTTTAATGTTGCATGATGATTGATGATAAAACCGGCTGGACGGCTGGGCATCGTAGCAGGTAAATCCTGAATCATGTAGAACCCCAACACTTTGATGTGCTCTGCTGCGGTGTCACCTTTCAGGAGATAAGACCTTGACTTACAAACCAGAAGAGAAGTGCGGCTCTCTTCTTTTCCCTCTTTTTTTTTTTTTAAATCTGGGAGCTACTGTCACTTTGAGATTATCAGAACTAGCCTCTGAAGTTTTGTAACACTTGGAGTAACTACTAGATCGACAGTAGACGGAGTAGACGGTCTGCTCCTGCTGCATCGTGTGTTCTCAACTGTGATGACACCATTTTTGACTCTCCTTAAACATTTTCGTATAATATCGTCAAAATTTTTTTTTCATATTGGCCCATATCAAAAGAAATAAACTCTCTACCTTCATCTCATCACAGGAAATCTAAAGATATTTTCCCCTGGTTAAATGAACAAAGATATAAATATATTTTGAAGCTCAGAAACATCACAATTAGAATCTGACCAATTAATCGGCCAGCCAATAAAATCAGCTGATATCAGCATATCTAGTGACTATCGGTATTGGCTAAAAAGAATCAGAATCATTGAATTGATGTGTTGCATCGCTCAGCACTTTACGGCACACAGAATTCAGACTGAAGTTTCTTTTTCTGGATTCAATCGTATGAACTGGGCACTGCAAGTCTGGACCGTTGATTACATTTTCACCATTTTTACACCTCAGACCCGGAGTGGTTATCGAGTATATTTCCGAGGATACAGTCTACCTTCACGCTGTCAAGCAATCATTCTGAAGGTCGACTTGGTCCAAGAAAATCATATCGACAATCATCCCGCTGGTGCTGTTGACTCAACCTGCACAAATCCTGGTTTGAACTCAGGAAATACCCCGAACAACCGAGCTACCAGGACCTTAAGGAATGGCCTGGCTGATAACTGGAATAGAAACGCTTCAAACTATGAAAGACTTGACTTGTTTAAGCACAGCTTCTTAAATAGTGCTGAACTCTCCGTGTGCACTGGACTCTACCATCAGAGGGCACAGGGTCAGCATCCATGAGCTATTATTCCTTTAAAAAAGATGCTTTGCACTAAACTCTGTGGTGAGTTTACGTTTATTTTCAAGCAACAAATGCTCTTGTTTTCTGTAAATCATCCAACTCTTTGCAGTGTGTTCTTATTTGGCTCTGGCATCAATAAGCAGTCCTGTGATCATTGACAAAGCAAAACCATTCCTCAGCCTGTGTCTGACAGCCGGCTCCATTAAATCCCAGCAAACATTTCTGTTTGGGTGTGTTTGCATGTCTTTGCTCGAGTCCAGCAGGGGGCAATCAACTCCAACACACTGACGCACACACACGAGTGCATTTGAAGTAATTGAAGCCAGGAGTGTCTGCACACAACACCGTAAATAACATGAAAAAGCATGACCGTTGCTTTTTTGCAGCTCCTCTTTGTGCTTATCAGCCCTCTTTCCTTCCTAGTTTCCCCATCTATTGCTCCTTTTTTATTTTTTGGAGGGAAAACATTTGTCATTGACACACACACACACACACACACACACACACATTTCCCTGAACAGTTGTAGTGAAATGATAAAAGCCCTGTGGTTTCTACTCGCCCTGTGGCTCTACTCAAGTAGGAGGGGATTGATGTTCCCCTTATCATGCATCTGTGAAAAAAGGGGAAGCGGAGACACGAGCAGCTGCAGTTTACCCTCCTCCCTCCTGCTCTCTGCACCTCATGCCCCCACCCGTCTTTTCCCCTCAGCCTTTTTCGTTGCCTGTGCCCAGACAGCGGTTGATGACGCCGCTGTCGGGGGGGACTGGGGGCCTATCTCTCCCGCTCTCTCTCACACACTCCTCCCGCCCTCCCTCCCCCTCTTTCTCACTTGCTCTACAAATGAAGGCTGAGTGTATTTATAGTCCAGCGTGTCACCCGGCAGCCAGCGGACGGGGGATTACCTTGGCCACGATGAACAAGCGGGGCCTCATTCAGAAACGGCCGCTCGCTTGGTGACTCACAGCCGCACATGCTGGTTTCACCACGCTATCACTGCTGAGGTATTTTGCTGCGTGTGTCAGTGTTGTTGTTGTTGTTGTTCGTCTGGCAGGCTTCTCAGTATTATCATAAGATGTTGATCAAATACAAGAAAGCTTACGTTGATATTTGTTGCGTGCTTATGGGTACGAGTGTGAGTGCTTTTGGTTTAGGATGTATTGTTGGCTTGATGTCAGCTCACAGCTGTTTGTGTTGTAGCCAGTTCACTAGTTCCGACTACGACAGAGTGTTGCTGATAAGAAGTCTTTTTATTCAAAACACCCCGTATATTTATTTGTTTTAGATGTTATTATATGTTCACTGACTTCCTGGTCCTCCCTGATAAGAAAACATTGAAATGAGTCATTAAGTCTGATACACTTGAATTAATATGAAAGTTTAAAGATCTTTTTTTTCCTCAATTTTTTTGCTTATTTAGTGTTGAAAACACAAAATACACCATTGAGAATTCCATCGGATGAGAGTCTGAAAAGTGCATGAAAATCTACTCTGAACTTCTTGTGTGGGTAGATCATATTTTAAAGACATTTTTGCTTCGCATAGTCAGAAAAACTGGCAAACACAAAGACTGTTTCTCGGTCTGCTTATCTCTTGTTGTGAATTGCTCATTGCTAAAGTGTGTCATGCTCTACTCTTTCACTTTTGAACCTTTGAAATCATAACAGGCTCTGTGTTTTCTACAGAGGGAGCTCCGTCCAGTTAGAGAGAGCAACCTTAAACTAAAGCTGTAAAGTCAGAATGCACAGTTTAGTAAAAGCATCCTGTCACTCTTTCAGCTTCTCTCTGTTCCTGAGCAGTTTTCTGTTTTATATTGAGGTGCAGCTGATCTGCTGTTTCTGTGCTCCTCAGAGCATTCAGACCGTGTGGGAGAGTCTGTCAGCCTTTTCCCTCCAATTCTCCGTCGATGGATGACGTCCAGACACTGTCTTAATTGCACAGCCACTGCAAAACCATATATTTGTCTCATTTAGACAGCATGCAGGAGTCGGCATGCTTTCATTTTTTGGTTATTAAAAACAAGAAATGACCTAATAGTGCTTGGACTTATGCTATTGTTGCCACGGTGACAGGTATCGATATCCTTTGATTCTTCCTAGTATGGCATAAAAGTTTTAAATTCTGGCATCATGACAGCCCTCGTGTCTCGCTTGACGCGGTTGCTGTAGAATAATAATAACATCCTTCAGATGATGTGCTGATTGGCTCAGGAAAAAAACTCGTCTTTTGCACTAACAATTCAACTTTTGCTCGCTGTTCATTGAAGGAAGGACATTTTGACTTGCGCTGCTCGAGGGTCACATTGACTGCTCTTGTACATTCATTTTATTATTCACGTGGATGTGAGTTTCTGCTGATTCAGTAAATGGTCTCCTTCACTGTGTGTTAGAGGGCTGAAACTTTTGCCCTGTGTTGTGTACTTTGCATCCGTTTTATTCAGGATGAATCATTTTAAAAAAGTGTTTTGCATATTGTTGCATATTTTGAGGGAATATTTTTTTTTTTCACCCATAGAATTGATGCAATTGTTTTCTCTAAAGATTTCCAAGCATTCAAATGTATTGTCTCGAGAAAGAACTGATAACATGACGCTGACCTGATGGGGTTCAGAAAGTAAAGCAATCCAGTAATGTAAACAAGTCAGTCGACTTGTAACCATGATGTAGGTTAGTAACAGGATATATTGCTTTCCTTTTCAGTATGAGTGTTTTAGAAAAACATGAGCAGCCTGTGATTCTGTCATATCTCATGCTGTTGTGCTACACTAGGAAACAGTGGAGTCTATTATTAAAGGTACAATATGTAGAATTTAATTAAAATGTTTACTTTTTAAAATGTTTACACAATTTGACTAACCCTTTGTTACATATATTTTTTGTTATCAAAGCTAGCGAAATCCTTCATTTTATAGTTGTAACAGGACTTGTCTTGTTTGCGGCTGCCAAGACAGACACAAAATGTTTATTGTTGGCATGGAAACACCAGATGGTGCGTCAAAGATAGCTGCTACTGAAAGCTGCCGTACTGTTGCTGTTTGTGCTGCTGTGATTAAAAACGTCATGTAAATTGTAATCGGATACATCGTCAACATTGTCAACATGTTCTCTTCCTCAGGTCAGTTTGTCTGGACTAACCCGTAGTTCGGTTTCATCGGGGGTGGGGGATAGAATAGCGGGGGATCACTCCCATGATTCCCCCGTCAGCCTCGACGTCATCGTTTGTTATTGTTTTGATTGAGAGCCCCCTGGTGGTGGACTCTACAGGCGGTGCCTTTAAGGGAACTGTTTTTTAATTATGGGCAACATTTATTAGTCTCAAGTCTTTTTTTTTTAATTGGTTTTTGGGGCCTTTTTATTGGATAAGACAACTGAAGAGAGACAGGAAATGTTAGGAGGACATGCAGTAGAGGACCAAGGTCAGATTTGAACACAAGCCGCTGCAACGAGGACTACAGCCTCTGTAAATGGGGCGTGCAACATAACCGCGAGGCTACCAGTGCTCCCAGTCCTGAGTATTTTTGTGTTTAGTTGATTAAAACTGTTCCAATTCTGAATCACACTGTACTAGTCAGGAGTTTATACCATAGAGACTTTAAGCCTTCTGCTCTCCAAAGAAAAGAAAATGTGCCTCCATAATTACAAATCTTCTGTCACTCACTATAGAAAGAAAGTAGAGCACAATTCCAAACTAAGCAAGCGTTGGCTGATCATCTGTTTATTTTTCTTCCTCCTCTGCAGATACTTGGAGAAGTATGAAAAAGTCCACCACTTCGGCGAGGATGACGATGAAGCGCAGCCGGGGAATCCCAAAAACTCTCTTCCAATCGGTGCAATTCCCAACTCTTATAACTACCAGCAACACAGTGTATCAGGTAGGCAGAGTCGACCCATTTCTCAGAGTATTCAGACACCTTTCTTCTGTCTTGGTCTCTCTGTGGTCACAAGTTCACTCTTTGTTTCCAACTCTGTCACATCCGTATCAGGTTCATGGACTCACTTTCAGTATGTCTACTTGATTAATTTCTGTCTTGCTCACTTTCTCATTTTCTCCCAAAGTCATCCTCTCTTGTCCTCTCCACAACTCAAATTCCTAATCCTTTAACAGATGTGATTACACTAGAGCGTGACTTCATTCAGAAGCTTGAGAATCTGGTCAGCCCACAGGTCAAATATATGCATAGAAAATGTGCTACAACAAAGCTTGTTTTTGTTCCTAGGATTTTCAATTGCAGAGACCAGAAAGTAAAACATCATTTTCATCATGAAGTTTCAGATCACTTTCATATCTGTCAAAGTCAATGCGCTGTGGTTTGTTGACAAAAACATATTAGTGAAGAAAGATGCATTTTTTTTTTTTCTCTGATGTGAGTCGTTGTCTGAAATGGCCAGGAATTTCTGGAGAATAGGTTTACGTATCAGGAAGTGTGGTTATTCAACATGTCGCTGATGTGACGAACTATCCCTTTAATCCAAGAAATCCAGTGCTAGCCTGACTGTACGGTTCAAACTAATAACTGTCATTTTAAGAAGTGTAGTGCTGTTCGTTTAAGTGCACGTCTGCACAGCACCCGTGGTGTTTAAGTTTAGTCTCATTCTGGAGGGTATGTAACCTCTGTTTTTAAGGTGAGAAGTCAACATAAACTGCCACATGATCAAATGTTTGACTGACTTTATAGCTTCAACATGATTGGCTGCCTGCAGATTAATAATGTCAACATCTAGAAACTAGTAAAATGCAGTAGGGCCTGACCAATATGGATTTTTTGGGCCGATATTAAAATTTTTTTTATCAGATGCCGATGTCTTTCTTAGATCTATCTTCGATTTTTAGATAGATGAATATAGATCGACACATTTATAACATTGATACTTCAAATGCAGTTATCAAACACTCGCATCACCTCTCGACATTCTGGAGCGTGATGATGCTTGTTCTATCTGTATAGCTCCCTCTGCTGGTGAAGGAGAACTGCTAGTGTCATGTAATGAAAGTTAAATTAAATGCTATTTGACTGGTGAATAAATGTAGCAATATCAGCGCATATCTGAGGTAAAATTAGCCGATACTGATATTCACTTGATATGCTAATATCGGTCGATATTATCGGCAGGCATATTAATTGGTCGGCTCTAAAATGCAGTAGTGTTGACTTAAAGCAACATTTAACACAATTAGATTGTTTTGAAGTATCGATACTTTAACTGCAAAAAACGTGTGAGATGCAATTAAGCTGAGTCCAAAACATCCATTGTGAACAAAAGGGACTTTCTGTTAAATGAGATCTTCAATAGATGAATAAATATTTACAAAGTATACAGAGAGTATCAAAGTGTTTTTTGTGGATCCCTGTCGTAGCTACTCTTTCTGCTTTTTAAACTAACTCCTGAGCCTTTGTATTGTTGTTACATTCATCCCTTTCATTACTCAGTGACTCATTGAATTCACTCTTCAACTTGCTGAGCGCTGTTGTGTTTGAACCAAGGCCATCAAGCGTGTGTTTGCAGCAGTTGTTGGTACCCTTTTTTCTCTTTGGACATTGCCCCCCTCTCACACACACACCTCAGCGATGACTAATACTCTTTTGAACCCAGGCTTGCTGCTGCTTTCATGATGGAAGAACAGCCTCTGAGTAACCACATCATATATCAAACCAAATATTTGAGTGTGACTCGCCAAGGCCATGTCTGTACCGACCAACCCTGCCTACTCACAGTGAATGCAGGCTGTCCATTAGCCTCCCAGTGTTGTGGTGTTGACCACAAGCTGCTCTCTCAGATAATTGACTTTGCTGACAGCCATTTCTCATGAAAGGAAGGAGGAAGCACTTGTTGGTTTTCCCTCCAGCTCAGTTTAGATCAGAGCCTGCAGCTTTTCAGTTGCAGGCTCTATTCATTAACAATGAGCCCTCTGCCTGCTGAGCTAAATGAATCCAAAACATTACCCGTGTTGGAAAAGACCCAAGCTGTAGTGTACTGAGATCATTCAGACATTGAAGAACACAGTGGTTCAGGTGGCTGTGCAAATACACTCCTTTTTTAAGCGTGTTAAAAAAGGAGTTGTGTTGTGCTGGAGTGGAGGGTGTGGTGGGGGGTTCAGATTTAGTTTCATCCATTCCCAGGTGCACATACAGTATGTATACACATTTACACTAAAACCATTCATTTTTAAAACAGCTTGAATTGAATAGGGAAGCATCGATGTACTGGTTGAACATCTCTCGATAACATCCCTTTGTAGACAAACATCGGCCCTTTTTGGAAAATAATGTGCCTCACACCGATGTTGGGAGCCGATGTTTACATGTTGTGTGGCATCATTTTAAAGCTGCCAAGCTGGTATTCCCCCTTCTGGGCGAACTAATTTTGTTTTCATGGTTGAGAGTGAAAGAAAATGTCAGCAGTGTTGGGAGTCTTAACTGGGAAAGATCAGCAACATGCAGTTTGTGAGACATGTCTCAGTGACACTTCAAGTGGAGAGACTCACAACAATGAAGCGAACACCAAAGCAGAGTGACAAACTGTTCCTCAAGTACTCGCTTTAACAACAGGACGAGGAATCGATTGGAGAAAATGCTGCATTTCTGGACCCCTAATGTAAACATACATGTCCTTTCATAAGTGAACTCTGTCTGTACCCCAGGCTCTGAATTTCTAAATAACGGTAATGTAATAGAACAGCAGGGCGGAAGTCGTGCTACGTTAGCTCGGCAGACTCCTTGATGGTTAATTTCTTGACAGTCAGTTGGGTGATCTCTCACAGCGCTTTGATCTGCCCCGTTGTCCTGTCATGTCGTGGCCTACGACCGCTTCTAAGTCAGTCTGCTCATGAAGCTTTTGTCTCTAGTCATCAATGTACATCAGCAGTTTGTACAGTGCTGGCCAGCTGCAGGGCGAGCCGACACAGGAGATGCTGTAATAGAAACGGGCCTGCACAAAACCTTTTCAGCATGGAAATCAAATTCACTCAGCAGGACTCCTCTCTTCTTTATGATTGGTTTCCAGAGGCAGCAGGCTACAAAGATCCTGCACCAAATTGAAATACCCTCTGTATGGAAAAATGACACCTATGCACACAAAATGATTGATGGCAGAAAATCAAGCCGTGGCAGCGGATGAGACGCGGGTCTTTGTTGACAAAACGTCTGCACTTGACTGACAGGATCTTCTGTCGTTTAAAGAGTCCATATTCTGCCCTTTTTGGGGTTCGTATATTTAATCTATGTACCTACTTTTGTACGTTCACAATAGATAAAGTCAGAAAAAAGTGTCTGTTTTCATACTGCTCCTCCTTGCTCCCTCTACGCTCTGAGTCCGTCAGCTACACTCTGTTGAGCCCACACTGTTAGACCCCACGTGGGCCAAGTCTGATCTGATTGGTCTGCCGATCCGCTCTGTCGTTATTGGTCAGTTGCTCAGCACGCTTCTCGGAAATTTCAACATGAGCTGCAGGGCTTGCCACAACGAGCCAATGGGCTTCGATCAGTGACCTCACACTGACAATGACGTCGCACTGACAAATTTTTATCGAGGGGGCCTAGAACTGAGCGTTACATGCAGCTAATGCTACAGCTAACAGGAGGAGGTAGGAGAAGCCGCGTTTCCGTGGACTTTGAATTTTTGCACATGGATGTGCCTAAACATGCACAGGACACTTGGAAAACACACTAAAGAGCATATAAAACCAGAAAAAGCATAATATGGGACCTTAAAGAATATTCATGAGTACCCTGCACCATTAGGAAACTTTGCATCCTCCTTCGTCTCGGGATTCGATAACGATTGTCCTGTTGACAATTTGAGTCGATATCACTATGCATCACGATGGGTTGCATCCTCAATTTTCTATATTTACTGCACATGGCGACTTTTTCATCATCAGAGACGAGCAGCCAAATAAATACAGAATTAACTCCCCATTTAATTTTTTTAGAAATCACTGTCATCATCAATGTCTTTTCTCTGTAAACCAAAAATAAACTAGAAAGGTCCAGCCAGGCTGCAAAAACGACAACTTAACAACATACTATACATAGCAACGACAGTACACAATAATCGATTTAGTTCTGTCACTGCAGCGATGCACAATCATCCACATCGTGATGCATCGTAGAAAAAAAGTTAATTCCAACACCCCCATGCACCAAACTGTGTTTTCTAATTTAGGATTAAAAAACTTTATAATTATGAGAAGCCCATCATGGAGGTTGACTAAGTCCCAGACAAACACAATTAAAAGTGGAGAGAACATTCATGTTCCTCAGTCAGACAAGACACGGCTCATCGGGCTAATTAGAACTAAAAAAAAAAAAAAAAAAAAACTGCTTCCACTGAGCGGCTCATTGCCCCATTTGGTTTGCTTCAACTCGGTTAAATGCAAATATAAATCTGAGTTAAAGTGGCTGAAGGTGTGCGGAGGCAACAGAACTACAAAGAGGGAGCCGGTCAGGGGCAGCTTTCCTCTTCCTCTGCACTTCAGTCGTTGCTGAATGTTGTGATTCATTGCTTCTTTACAACGTCTTTGTGGTGTTTGTTTCATCCTGCGTCATTTCTTTCTCTGCATCTCTCCCCCAGAGACAATCGTGTTCAGGTCAAATGCCATGCCAGCGGTTTATGCTTTACTAGCATCATTAGCATCACACGGCAGTCGGTTGTGTTTGCTTTGTTTTGTTGGGATGTATTTGAAATGCCTCTTTCCCTGGCTTTATTAAAAAATGTGTTTTAATTAAATCTCATATGTATCATTTCAACATTTCAGTGTTTCCTCCTGTTGCCTGTTTAGTTTGAAATAAGCCTCATTATGCTCCATGTCCACCTATCAATGAAGACATGTCCTCTGTAACGCTCTGCTAGCTGTTTCATGGAGATGTTAAACACTATAGTATATATTTCCCTGTTTTAGAAACGTATTAAGAGATTCTTTTCTCTACCCTTCCAGACTATCTCCGCCAAAGCTATGGACTCTCTACGGACTTTGTTCCGCCGTGCGACTACAACAAACTGGTGCTGTCTCTCCTCTCGGGCCTACCCAACGAAGTTGACTTCGCTGTCAACGTTTGCACGCTGCTTTCAAACGAGAGCAAGCACGCCATGCAGCTGGACAAGGACCCCAAACTGGTCACGTTGCTGCTGGCCCACGCCGGCGTCTTCGATGACTGTAAGTGTCCAAAACCTTGTTTAAATATGTTCATTAACGGCTGAGACTATGAACCAAAACACAGAAAAGATGTATCAGTCTTCATCTGTTGCATACATTAGTATTGCCTAAAAGAACCTGTAATGTACTTTATTCAAATGATGTAGATTTATGTTTATCGTGAACATGCAGACCTGCAATACAATGATTATTTCAGGGGGGAAGAAAGCTAATTTTCCCCAATTTGCCACCTCTTAGCTCCCCTCCCTGTTGAAGATCAAAGGTTTTCTGTTCTCAGGTGGAAAAGAAGGAAGAGGGATAACCAACTAATGCACTGATCTAAAATTGTGATGCTCCACTCTAACCCCTTCCTCTTTTTTTTTTTTTGCAGCACTAGGCAGCTTCTCCGGGGTATTTGGGTCGGACTGGAAGGAGAAAACCACACGGGACTTCGTCAGGGTAAACTTTGAAACAATCTTTTTTCATGTATGGCCTCGTACATCATCTTTAAGTTAACTTGAAATGCAGCTTTATTTGGCTATTATTTATAGATAATAAATCCTCTTTTTTTTTTTTTTCTTTTTACACTGTGAAGCCATATTCTGTGAAGTGTGAAGATTGGCATAAAATACAGCGGTTCCTTCTTAAAGAGGAACCTCAGGGAGCGCTTTTCTCTGAGGCGTCTTCACAAAGCAGAACGGAGGGCAGTTCACTTTGATCTCGCTCAATTTCAAAAAGACGAGCATGAAAGGAAAGTCACGACTCCAAAATAATGTAGCATTTAATTTATCCCCCGTCACGGGTGAATTATCGTGGCCGATACTCCTTCTTGAGAGATCAGAGGTCACAGTCAGCAGAAAGACGCGTTGTATCCAGCTCAGAAGGCTTCGCTCTGTTGTCTCCTCCTCGCATTGATTGAGCAACACAGAGCTTGTTTTCATTATCGTGGGTCGAATGTTAGAGTTTTCCCAAAGAGTTGATAACGCCGTAGCAAAACAAGCTCCACAATAAAAGGGACAGTCCCCAAAATGTACAAATCAAAGTCTGTTTATGGAGCTTTTGAGTATTTCTGCTTGCTTGTTTGAAAAGCCTGCAGCATAACATTGCCCCTAGAAAGAGTTTAAAATAAAGGGGCGCCTGATAGCTTCGCGGTTATGTTGTGCGCCCCGACCTCGGCCCTGTGCTGCATGTTGTCCACCACTCTCTCCTCCCGACGTTATCTTATCTATTAAGGTAAAAAAAAAAATTCTATATATCAGCATCTGCTAAAAATGAACACTTCTGATGATGTGACGGACTAACATGACATTTCACTCACAATGTGACCTCTCCAGCCTTTGACTGCTAAGATAATGAACTGCCATCACTACACATTGTCTATTGAACATGAACATTTTGAATACCCTGCATATAGACCATCACAATAGAAGTAGTTAATTGAGATTTCTTGTGTGTGCAATATATCAGCATCTGCAAGATGAGTTGGAAAATATCTACATATCTGACACTTTCAAAATCCAATATCATGCATCCTTGAGAAAAAAAGAAAAGCCTTAAATATATCCAGAGGAAGCTGTGCAAAGCTTGGATAGACTGCCGCGGGTGATGTCACGTGAGTCTGAACTGTACAAGAAGGTGTGAGCTCAAAGCTTCCTCTCACTTCTCCACCCCTTTTCACATGAAGTGTTCTGTCAGGAGGCTTCTGAGCTTGAATCACAACAAAACAAAACAGCACAAAGTTTCAACAAAAAAGAAAAGAAAGCAGAACAGATGTTCTTATGCTAAACAAGTTAGATCAGATCTTAAACGAGGTGCAACAAGTCCCAATCTTTTCAATCGACTCTCAGCGTCTTATGTTGTCTTTGTATTTATCATCTTATCTCAGTGAGCTAACCAGCGCGCCCTCATCAGCTCTGCTCTAGACTGCATTAACAGCCAATAACATTACACACCAGAGTCACTCGCCAAACTGTTGCAGTCAAGAAGTTGATTTGTGGGTAATGTAGTCTCCAGGCTGCATTAAGTGAATGTACTTTCAGTATGATGATACGTTGTTGGAAGTGTCTTTAAGGTTTTAGTGTGAAAGTGCTTACATGAGTATGTGGGTTTCTTTGTTGAGGTCATACTTTGGTTTCTGGAATAACCGAGTTCAGCGCCTCAGTTCTGATCATGACAGTTGATTTGGAAACATTTGAATTGTCGGTGTCATTTTTGAGTGCAATGCTAACAGCTGCTGTTCCTCTGCAGTTCTGGAAAGAGGTGGTGGAGGACTCTGAAGTCAGGGAGCTGATCTGGGACAAGAACAACCCAGCACAAGGTAAACACACACTCTGTGCTCTAAACGGCAGAAAACAATAAAAGGCTTTCTCTCTTGTACACTCCCACAGCGTTTTTATTGACATCTGAAGTGCTGCGACATGCAGGCAGGCTTTGTTTACTTTGACTTCCTTTTGTAGCTATAAGCGGGTAGAGGGATGCATTTTTTTTTTTTTTTTTTTATAATCCTGCTTTCTCCTTGATACCCAACCTTGTGAACACATCCTTTATTTTACAAACTATGTTCACTAACATTTAAAAGATCAGATGGATGGACGTGGACGAGAGAATAACCAGTTGGATGAATGTTGATTGGATCCTGAAAGTTGAATTTCAGAAACGTCCTTCCTGTTGAACAATATGTTCAAACACCATCACCTGGCACAGAGCTCTAAGTCCCCCCCCCCCCCCTCTGCTCTCTTTGCAGATGGTACGTCGTGTGAGGAGCGCTGGCAGAGCCTCTTCCACCCGCCGCGGAACTCGGGTATCAGTGACATGGAGGCCCAGCGGGTGCTTCAGGTCGCCGTTATTCTGCGGAACCTCTCCTTCGAGGAGGCCAACGTCAAGCTGCTGGCGGCCAACCGAACGTGCCTGCGCTTCCTTTTGCTCTGTGCCCACTGTAACCTCATCTCACTCCGACAGCTTGGACTTGACACGTTGGGCAACGTGGCAGCCGAGGTGAGTCCCGTGTTCCCGTTTGGGGTGGATTCAAAACTCTTCGATGCCAAAAAGAAATCTGCCAAATGAAACCAGCATGCTTTCAGAAAAGGGCAGCATTTAAAAAAAACAAAAAAACAAAAAAAACCCCTAATGTGCAGGATTTGAGTCTGCACGGTGATGTAGAGTGCAGGGAGGGATGCAGAAGATTTTGTTTCCAAATGTAGGTTAGTGTGACACCGCTAACTGTCTAGTCTTGAGGCATCATCTCTACTCCAAAACAGCTCGAATGAGAGCTGAAGAACGAGCAGGAAAAAAAACCATGTGGCTGTTAAGTACTATTCAGTGCAGTTCTATTAACAGTTACAACTTCTAAAAGGCAGAAAGAGTTTGTAGAGAGGGGATTTTCCCACCAGGTTTTCCAAAACCAAGAACAAGAAAACACACATAAGCAAGAACAGCTGACTAGCTCACCCCCCTCTGAAGTAACAGTTTTACTTTAAGGACAAGGAGGGCACAGTCTACAAACTATAGTGCATGAAAGCCGTGTTTTGGACCGGATCATTCCCTGCTAAATGTCACAAAGTCACTCTTTAGTATGCAACCAATTCATAGAGAGAACAGAGCGAAGTAACGCGGTATCACTAGCTGGGTGAAGTGATGCTGGATACACACTGAAAGACAATCCCCCAACAATTCCCACTCCGAAACAAGTCCTGATTTTTTTTTGTTGTTGTGCCGAAGCCAGGGACAAGGAACGAACTGGACTTTGAGGATGAGGCGTGCTTAGGCAGGGTGCCGATTGCCTCGTGTGGAAAAAAAAAAAGGAAAAAAAGAAAAAGCATGATAATTTACTGAACACTCTGTCAGCTCACTAAAGAGCTAACACCATCTTCTCCAGAAATCAGACTGATTGGCAATGAAAAGATGAGTTGAAGTCCACAGGGTTCATCTGGGACAACCAAGTGGATGAAATATTATTAAACATAATCCGTCGTAGCTGCGGTCAGGGTTTCCTAAGAAACGATGTCTGCCAGATGGTCTGCCAAGAAGCCTGTTTCTCAGAATAATTTCTACATATTAATTTGGCAAAGGTGAAATCTCACATTTTGAGGCAGGTGCAGAGTTTCCAGACTAATGCAGGGAAAATGTGAAACTGAGATTGTAACATAAATAGTCTGAGAACACACTGAAGGTTTGCTTCGACTGTATTATCACATTTATTGGTAGGAGATGTTAATGAGCACATACCTATTTTTAGAAACTGTAGGCACAGGGTCCCTGATAGGATCAGTTCAAGCCTTTGATGCCTTTAATTGGATTGCTGTGTTTCTGGCACTAGACAAATTCTTATGATGGATATGATACTGCTAAGCTCTGCATTATCTGTTGTCACTGTCCAAAATGTAAATACCAGTAAAGCTCCATAGATGTTGGGACTGGGGGCTGCTCCCACTTTGGATGTATCTGGTTGACTGGTGTGTATGTTTGGGGCATCAAAGAATGTTTTGAGATCGAGAGCTGAAAATGCAAGAATAGATGCTGTTGTTGGCTCGTCATTATAACTGGCCCTGCTGGCCTGTTAGCACAATCCAAAGACTCCGGGCCAGCTGATAGCACGATCCACTGGCTCGTTCGGGCCAGTTAAAAAAAACTACCTGACTCCGTTGTGTTGTTGGGGACTTTTGTGAGATCATCCCGTTAATTACTATCACAGAATCTACATTTCATTGCCATGCACGCGTCTGATAGCTTCAGTGCTGTCACTCCTGTGAGCGCTCACTGCACTCAGATTGTTCAGTGAACATGAACAGATGTAAGCGGCTTTTTTTTTTGGGTCGGCCTATTAATATTGCAGTCCCGTAGTGACTCCTACTTACCGGTATTAAGTTATTTGTTATTTTAACTGTTTGAAGGAAGAATGTGCGTCTTTTTGATCCAGTAGATGTCGCCCTTTTGCACCAGCATGAAACCAAAACAAACTGCTGTTCGGCGACACCTCCGCTATTCTGAAGCCCCCGCTCTCCTCCAGAGACACACCTCCAACCCCTCTACACTCACGTTCACGTTATCAACTAGAACGCACCATAACTAAGCACCATTAAGCGCAAGCAGCGGACTAAATTGTCCTTTGCTCGAGCTGCAATCACCTGTGTCCTGCATTGTTGTGTTAGCAGGCTAATGCTAGCACACTTTGGTTAGCTTGTAGCTTTATATTGTGCATAAATTGACACAGAAAGACTGATCTGAAAACACTGTTAAGCTGTTAGTATGTTCCTCTTCTTTTAGTCCTTGACTAAAACAGATTTAAACACAATGCTGTCCGTCCATGTAAACACAGCTCTGACAACAACACCAGCAGGACTCGAGCTTCTCCCTCATTGTAGACAGTCCTGACTCAGAGACACATTTACACAGGATAGACTTGATTTCTGCTTCATTTATGTGTCACATGTTGCACATTCTTCCTTTAACCATAGTATGCTGAAGAAAAAAAAGGATAATAAATGTTGCGGTAGTTTCCAGCTGACCTGCTGACCGGTGGCAGGATCGTTGAATAACTCTCGTCTGACTTCTTGCAGCTCCAGCTGGATCCTGTTGACTTTCGGACAACTCATCTGATCTTTCACACCATCACCAAATGCTTGATGTCCAGGGACCGGTTTCTCAAAATGAGAGGTGAGAGGTCTTGTTGTCTTGTTGTGACCTCTTTTTTTTTGTTGTTTTTTGTTTAAGATGCCTCCTGCAGCATATTAAGTGCAACGCGTTTTGTCTTTCAGCCATGGAAATTCTGGGCAACCTCAGCAAGGCCGAGGACAACAGCGTGCTGATCTGCGAGTATGTGGACCAGGACTCGTACAGGGAGGTGGTGATGCTCCTCACCCTGCCTGACCTCATGCTCCTCATGGCCTCGTTGGAGGTGCTCTACCTGCTGGCCCAGCTCGGAGAGAATCCCTGTACCAAGATCGCCTCAGTCGACCACAGCATAGGTATGAATCCCCCCCCCCCCACATGTTCTCTTGACCTTTCACCAAGCAGCCTGTTGCATGTTCTCTTGCTACTTTGCGTGACTTATAAACACAAGTTCATTCTTGTTCTATTACTGATTAAGTGAATCCAGGGCTTGAAATCTAATGTCACTTGAGCTTTTTGGATTTTTGGCAACATTTCACCCTGCCGAGTTTATCACGCTTGTTTTTCCATTTATGCACACTCAGCTTAAGGGACAACTTGTTCTTCCTTTTATCCTAAAAAAGGAGGCTCTGCTTTGAATTAGTTTCTCCGAGTACAATAAACATTTCTTTTATCTGCTAAATAGATTACTGAAATATGATTTCATACAGGCCCCCTCTTTGTTCTCAACCTGATGTGTTTCTTCTTCTCTCTGCTCTCAGACCTGTTAGTGCGGTTAGTGTCCGTCGACCTTCACACGTTCGGACCCGACGCCCTCACAGCGGTGCGGTTGATCGAGCATCAGGCCAGCGCTGACCAAGCCGCCGAGGTTCGACCACAGCTGGTGGAGCAGGTTCCTGCAGCCGTGCAGGGAGGTCCAGCACCAGGTGAGCGCCATTTTTTTTTTAATAATTCATCACGCGTACTCTCAGAAGAGAGTTGGTTTGAACATGTGCTCTTTGATTAGAAAATAGTGACAATCAATGCACACTCGGCCTCCTGCCAGGCAAACGAGGAAAATGACCAGGAGAGTCAAATCAGTGTGTGGTGCTTTGATTAGAGCGGTGTATGAACTGGTCAGAGGATTGGTGCTACCTGAGGTGGGGGGGATGTAACACAACTTTGTGTTTTTCTAAACTCATTATGGCCCTCTGGGAATCTGAAATAGGTTCATGCTGTAGCTGAAATTGAATTGAATGAAAACCTCATGTAGGATTCTCACATCTCTCCATGTATGGTAAGCTTTTTAAAAAACCTCTATGTTCTGCTCACACAGGCCAGATTTCTTTTAAAGTGGTGGCTAAGATTGAAGAATGCCTCACTGAGACTAAGTGGGCCTGTGACTCGTTGGTTGAAAAAAATCAAATCAAAGTCCAGATAGGTTTGTTGATTTATTAAACAAAAGAGGGGAAAAATAATCTGAAACAAAACGTCCAAAAGATGAAGATAATGATAATGATGATGATTACGCTAACTGTAAACAGAAAATATTCAAACCCACTCGCCCTCTTTGTCCAGTCTCCCGCCTCACTACTCAACAGGTCAAATAAGGTAAAGCCCTCGACCACTTCTAATTACCCGTAATTATATCAAACCCTTATAAGGAGTGTAACATAACAAATAATCAACAGAGGTATAAATACACATTATGGCTCCTACAGCTTTGCAGATCAGACTTCAAAAAGATCCCATAAATCTGTGATTCTCAACTGGTGGATCGGGACCCAGTAGTAGGTCGTGGAGCCATTTTTCAGTGGGTCGCAAATGTGCCTGGAAAAAAAACTTGTGTCCAAAAGTCTGAAGTGCTTTTTGAACATGTTGGCTTTCTTCCGTTTCTTGCTTCATGTTTTGTAAAGACCGAAATCTGATTGGTCGAAAAAGCAATTTCACGGAGGCGTTGGAGGTGGGTCCTGAGGCCAGACCGCTGTTAATGACATCATGCCACAATCTGACACAAATAAATAAACATACTGAGGATTTTAGTGGCTTTGTGGTTTAGGGTTTATGAAGTGAAGGTGACGGGTAGACCTGCTGTGTGAAGTGGTTTAACAGATTCTTAACTTACTGCAGTAAACACAACAAGAGGTCAAATGTCTGTTTGTGTTGAGTCTGTTCAATACAACATGATTAAAAAAACAACCAAAGATGGTCTTTATGTCTTTGACTGTGTGTTTGGAGCAGAGCGAAACAAAAGTGATTCAATGTAACGTCTGCCCAGAGCTGCTGTTCTCTGAATCTATGAATGCTAATTCATCTACAAATACTAACTCTCCTGTTGCTGAGCTGTGAGAGAGATGCTCTGAATCCCTCTCAGCAGGTTGTTTACAAGCCCGGTCTGGTTTTTATACCCGGTCCTGGATTCAATATCTGTTGCTTATTGATTGATCATTTATTCTGTGAATAAGTTGCCCAGACTTTTGATGGAGAAACATCCCGTTAGAAGAGGTCACACTGATCGAGAGGACAGATGTTCCTAATCTCCAAAATAATTATTAGCTAGTTGATAAGGAGTGTTGGAGTTGGGCAGACATCGGGTGCTGGATAGCCTAGCGGTTATGTCGTGTGACACATGTACGGAGGGTATAGTCCTTTGAATCTGACCTCGGCCCTTTGAGGCACGTCCCCTGCTCTCTCCTCCCAACATCTCCTGTCTCTCTTCAGCTGTCCTGTCCAATTAAACCCCAAAAACACTCTTAAAAAAAAAAAGAGCTGAGCAGGGCTCTGTATTTTGACTTCATCCTTTCTATGATGAAACTATACACCAGTGTTCAGAAAATAATGTTGGATGTAGAAAATATAGATCATAATCAAAGTGAAAAATCATGTTTTCCTATACTTGACTGCTAAATGTAACACCTGCTTGGTTTGAGATGTATTCAGCTTTAGAATGTGTTTAGAATATGTGTTTGTTTGCCTCCTGCTCGTATCCTCGTGTGTCAGCGAGACAGTGACGTGAATGGCAGACTTAAAAGCAGCTTTCCAAACAGCACCATGACTTCCATGAATTAACAGTCTAACCCTGGTGGGATTTAAACACACCTCACCTTGGTAGTGTCATCCCTGTGCTCTCAGTGGTTTACTGACATCTAGTGGTCAGCCTGCAGAGTGTTTCAGTTTTTCAGTTTTGTTTTTTTTGTTTTTTTTTTAATCAATGGGCAATCTAACCTCAAAACTCTTTTTTAAAGCTTTCCAGTGCAACGAAAAACCTGAAACCTTAAATGTCTCATCTTTCTTTTTTCAGTAACGAGGGTTCCAATCCAACCAACCCAACCTCCACCCGGGATCGTTGAACTAGACGGGGAGAAATTCACACTGCAGTGGTAAGATGATGTCATCAAGAGATGTGAATTCTGATTGTTCAGCTAAAAAAAATAAAACCCAGTTTGAAATTGTCCTGTTCTTACCGTCTGGAGTTCTTCGTGTGTTTTTTTTCTCCTCCAGGCTCAACGCACACTTCGAGACACACGGCGACGGCTCTGTGTCGCGATCAGAAATGTACTCCGAGTACCTCTCCACGTGCAGTAAAATGGGACGAAGCAACATCTTAAACTCCACCGGCTTCCTCAAATGTTTGCGGTGAGTCTCCATGCGATGCTTCTCGTAGCCTCCAGCGATCTCGTCTTGGCAGACAGATTAGTCACAAATTATATTTCCAGTCAACCAATCAAATCAGTCTTATTAGGATGAGTTCACTTAACCCCAAGGATATCTAATTAGAATAAAATGTAATTATTAGGGCGGTCAATCGATTACATTTTTTAATCACTGTTTATCGTAATTTTGATAGTTAAACGCGATAAATCGTTTTTTTAATCACGTTTGAAGTTTCATTATTCAGTATTTAAAAATTAAAAGGCTTCTATTTTGAAGTTTTGATTTGCTCTAAGCTGAGTTTTTTTTACTTGCTGTTTGAATTCAACCGTGCTTTTATTTTGAAATAAAGTGGGGACGTTCTGGTAGATTGAAGGTTACGACATTACCAAAAAAAAAAAAAAAAAGGAAGTTGTTATGGAGTTAAAAATAACCTCCAACAGAACAGAGCGCTGAATATCGACTGTGGCCTGATTTAGATTGTTTACATCCTAGTTACTATTCTCTGCCTGTTGTAGCCGTTTCCAGTTTATATTGTGTTTAATAATTATTTCAGGTACTTCTTACTGTGTGTGAGATTCGCGGCTGGTGGAGTAAATAGTCAGAATAGACGCGATTCAGCAGGGGAGCGGCAGAACTCCAAGCGGTTATGTCGCCCACTGCAGAATGATGGCATGTTTTTAAGACTGGTGATTGGGTTGGATTGAGCCCACACCTTCATGACATGGTTTCAGACACAGACCCAGCGCTCTGATGATGGACTACAAGCTTAACAAACAGGCTCGTCGGTCACATTGAGGGAATCAACTGCTTTACTGAGCTGTGAACGCCGACTCCTGCATGCTGCACGTTACAAACAGACAACAGTCCTCTTCAATAAGCTCTCCTGTCGCTTCTCAGTCAGACTCTCTCTCCGTGTCAGATTACACACATGAACACTGTGCATTCTTGCAAAGATGGTCTACGCACACAGGGAGTCTCACTCGTGTTAAAGAGGACAGCTAGGCAAATGATTTAGAACCCATGAAAAACCAAACAAATGACCGACACTGAATGAATACATACCAAGAAACAAGCTAATGTGAGCAGCACTTCTGCATGTAGCTCCTTGTAAACGGTGCTGTCCTCTGAAGAGCCGCAGATTTCTAACATGAAACTGCTTAAGTGTGTTTTCATCTCCCTTTTTCTTCAAACAAATACAGCCTTAAATGTCTTGTCGACACCTAGGCACCTGCAAACTGTTTCCAAGTTTAATGAATGGACGTTATGTTTCATGAGGCTTTCAACACTGTAAGGAAAGTTCTCTATCCATCCCCCTTTCTCAGCCTCTGAAAGAACATCTTTAAGAATATTTACTGAACTGTTGTACAGGCTCAGAATATCTCTAAATCATGATTCCCTTTGTTTCCTCCTTCCCATCCAATCACAGAACTGTCTTCCCCAACCACACGATGAGGCGGCAAGACGAGGCCAAGTCCAACGGTCAGGTTCAGATCATGCTGGTAGGGTTAAGGAGAAGGTCCATCCCCCTGCCCATCCAGCTGTACTACCAGCAGCAACAACATCAGCAGAGCCCAGCAGCAGCAGCAGCTCCTCCGCCTCCAGCAGCCCGACACGATGCTCCTGGAGACCCTCAGGCCCCGCCCTCAGGTACAACTTAGAATTCATCATGTTTACCTTCTTTCATTCTGTAAATACAATCTGGAAAATGCTTCGTTCAGTTAACCAGGTTGACTCTGTTCCTGCTGAAATTATTCACACCTTTTAGCATTTAGTAAACCCGGCATCCAAAGTCCAAATGTCTAAAGCTTAAGTGTTACGGATGAAGGAGGAGGTGTAGGGTCTCTGCAAAGAAAGCAGAGCTGCTACTGCTGTGACCAAGATGGCTGAAGTGATTAGAAATGCAAAAAAAGTAAAGAGGTGTTCAGGACGAGGAGCATATCAGAAAAACTGAAAGGAAGGCCGCTAAACTGTAAACAATGTCATGCAACTGAAGTAAAAGGAGCCGCTGTTTTGTTTGTGACCATGAAATTGAAATAAGACTTAAATTACGAGAATTGTTTATTTAGTTGTTTGAGTGTTTTTTGTCTTTTCGCTGCTCCTGAGAAAGACATGATGGTTATAACAGCCTTGATTGAATAGATCAACAGAGTCATCCTACTTCCCCGTATGTGGCCTCTTTATGGTTAGAAGATAAAGTCGTGATGTCAAAGGAAATGTGCTTTCTTTTGGGTTGTTCATAGCAGTGTTGTTGTACTCAAAATTGGTCTTGGTCTTAGTCTCAAGACCACCTTTTGAAGGCCTCGGTCTTGAAATCGAAAGCATTTTTACTTGGTCTTGGCAGACTCTGGACTTTAAATCCAGACCAGTGAAGACCACCACTGATATCACTCATTTTTGTGATTAGAAGGAAAACACCTCTTCCTAAACGAAATAAATTACTTCAATTCATTTGAAGTTAGATTTTTGTCCCCTGGTTACGGTCAAAATCTTCCCGCTGTTACGGTCTAAATGAGTGACGCACACGAGATGAGGTTTTTATGTCATATTTATGGTCTTTGTTAAAGGCTTTGTACAAAAAGAGAAAAAAGTCCCCTGAAACATTTCATTTTACTTTGGACCTAAACAGTTCTGTTTGTGTGTTACTGTGTTATTAGGCCTGCCTCCCGGGCATCACAGTCCTGGACCCCAGTTTGCAAGGGCCCCTGGATCCAGCCTCAGCACCGCTGGTGCTTCCCCCTCCATGGCCTCGCCTGCACAGGATGCAAGTCACCCGACTGTTCCCCGTCACCCGATGTCCCCGCAGGTGACTCCGCAGCTACCACCGAATCCTCTGGCAGCAGTGCAGCAGCAACTGGTCCGACCTGGTCCATTGGTCCAGATTCCAACGTCAACACCGGCTACCCAAAATCACAGCCCCCAGGCTGCACCTGCCCCCCAACAGCAGCAGCAACACTCCCCCATGATCACCGGGACACCTGTCACACTATTTCAGCAGGTACCGCAGGGCCACATCCTCACAGCCAGGGTGCAGGGTGTGTGTCCTCCCATCACTCAGACCCCTCCCCAGGCGGACCCTCAGTGTCCCGCTGCAGCCTCCACGCCCTCTTCTTCCATCGCAGGTGTGCCCAATTCACAGGCGTCGCGCGTCACATTTCAAAACATCGCCCCCAAACCAGCGCCAAACCAGTCGGGTGGACCAGCGACCACGATAGCCCCTTCCAACCAGCAGCAGAGTGTCGTCTACACCCCCGCCATACACCAAATTGTTCTCGCCAACCCCTCCGCCATTCCGGGAGCCCAGACTATCCAGATAGCCGGGCAGCCCGGCGCTGCTTCCAGCCCCTGTCTGCCTCCCACCTCTCTCTCCAACACCCAGGTTCAGTCCGGTCAAACCGTCAGCCAAGCTCTGTCCATCAAGCGGCATCAACAGCAGCAGCTTCAGCAGCAGCCCCCGCTCCAAATCATGTCCCAACCTCCCCCCTCTCAGCCTACCTCCACTGAGTCCAGCTTGATCAAACAGCTACTGCTTCCAAAGCGGCCTTCGACTCCGGGAGGAAAGCTGATCCTTCCCGCTCCACAGGTGCCCCTCCCCAACAGCACGATAGCCCCCAGTCCGCAGGTCATCTACCAGACCAACTACACCCCCCAGAATGCCTCTCCCCAGCCCCAGCAGCTCAATGTTCAGCTGGTTGCCGGTCAGCTTCCCGCTGCGGGATCCCCGGCCCTTCAGACGGTGCAGCTCCTGCCCGGCCAGCTCATTTCGACGAGTAGCCCGGGGACGGCGACCTTATTCCAGGGCCCCACGGCGGCTGGACAGGTTACCTTCACCGTGGTCCCCAACACTGGTTTCACCACATCTACTGCTGCTGTGACCGCTGTCAGCCAGGGGGCCGTGACTCCCGCAGCTCCCCCTCCTCCATTCTCTATAGGAACGGTGCCCCACCACGCCCCACAGCTCCTCAACCACCTACACCGCCGCCACTGCCAGCTCCCCTCAGAGGAGACAAGATCATTTGTCAAAAGGAGGAGGAGGCCAAGGACGCCACAGGGCTGCACATCCACGAGAGAAAGATCGAGGTGATGGAGAACTCCTCTTTAGCGGACGGAGACTCTTCTAACGGGAAAACCAGTAACGGCGATGTGGCGGCAGGGGCCAAGCTGCTAAATGGTCGGAAGTGCATGGAGTCTAATCTACCTCCATATCACTCAGGGAACAGCCAGGGGGCGCTCAACGGCCCGGCTACGGAGAGTCACCCTGCTAATGGGAAGCAGGCCCTCTCCCCAGGCCAAACACCCCCCTGGAAGGAAGCCCCGACCCCAAAAAGACTCTAGTCAACGGGGTTTGTGACTTTGATCGGGGCGACGGTGGTGGCAACTTCAACAAAAACATTCCAAATCACGTTGCTTCCAAACAGTACTTGGGGAACGGGGAGGTGGGCCCCACTGAGAAGAGTCACGGGTCAGACCCTCATCTCCCCAGTCCTCCTCCTAACCCCCAGCAGGACACTGCCAAAGCCCAGCAGGCTGAGCGCCTGGCCAACGGACCCCAGGCAGGAGGCAACAAGCCTCCCTCGGAACTAACCAATGGACCTTTAGGGCCGGCCCACGCTACGCCCGTGCTTAGGCAGCAACTGCTCCCCAACTCCACCCTGCTCTCCACTGTTACTCTCTCCGCTCAGAGTCCCGCCGCCTCTCCTGCGAACGGAGTGGCCTCCGAGGCTCGAGGTCTCAAGAGACCGGCGGAGAACGAGGACCGCGGCACGGCTGCGGCGTCCTCCGGGATTCCCAACAAAGTGGGCGTGCGGATCATTACCATCAGCGACCCAAACAACGCCGGCAGCAGCTCCACCATGGTGGCGGTGCCAGCAGGAACAGACCCAAGCACAGTAGCCAAAGTAGCAATAGAGAACGCCACTCAGCAGAGGAACTGCTCGCCCACACAGGCAGCTGGCTTAACGGTGAGTCATTGTATGGTTCGTCTAACAGCAGGCCACATTTACCCACCGTGTTTTCTCGTAGTGTGACTGGATGTCACGTCTGACACTAAATGTGTCTTCCTCTGTCACAAACGCTGAGTATTACCGAGGGAAGCAGGTTTCTGTGGCTGCCATGTTTTTCCTAGTTTACCAAATCCTTTTGTATAAAGGTGCCCCATGACTCTCAGTTTATTTACATTCACCTGAACAGATTGTGTTTGTTCACATTGTAGCTGACAGGTTGATTGCATCTCCTTAAGTAGAACAACAAAGACGTCTGTTTTTTTAAAGAATGCAATCAATTAAGGGAACAAAAATTCGTTGTTTTTTTTAAATATTCATTATGTTAAAACTCTTAAGATTGTTGCCAGATCTCCAGCCATCATGAATCATGACAGACTCATAGAAAGAGATGCCTCCCTCCATACTTCAGGGCAGCTGTTGAAATGAATCAAATTTGACCTGCTGTGATTGGCTGGTAGGAACATGTGTTCATGTTTCTGACAATCCAACCAGATATATCATTGCTGCTTTTGTTATGAATGTCATGTCACAATAGTTAACAAAAGGTCTGGCCCACATTACTCCATGTGTTCGGCAGTTTGTGTGTCCCCTCATACATGCTGGTAGAACACACAGACGACTCATCAAAACATTGCTCTTTGCTGCCCCTCCTGGTCAGATTCATCACAGGGTGTGTTTTTATTTTGGTGTAGAAATGAACAGTTATGTAACTGCATTGAGGCGGTGCATTGTGTAGTAGAAAAGTCACACATGAAAATCTTTCATTATAGATGTTTGCAGGTGAGAAAGGGAGTTTTGTATTTAGATTTCTGTGTGAATCATTTGGTTTAGGTATCTTTTTTTCTTTTTTAAATGTTAGTCATGTTTATTGCCCTGCAGGTTATTGAATGTTTTTCGTTACAGTATTTTTCCATGACTTAAATCAAGAAAACTCTTTGGTCCGATGCTTTCTACATTAGTCTGTTACTGCGTGGATGTCATGACACCAGCTGTGTTGTTTATTAACACAGTAACTTGTTTTGAGATGGTCAGAAGCCGTTTTCAGAATACGATTCTGCAACAGCGCCGTAACCAAGCTCAGCCACCATTACGCTGTTGTACTTTGATAGTGATTCTGCAACGGGGTAAGATTGGTGTCCCAGTGTGTGGTTCTACATTGGATCGGGGCGTTGCAGAAGCACAGAGGAGGGACGACTTGGTCCAACCATTACCGCCTCCATGACTTTTATTTTGAAGGCGAGACACACATACATACAGGGGCTGAAATATTGTGTCCTCAGTTGGCAATATCAAAAGGACTCGTGTCTGTGCACAGAAGTCAGAGCTTGAATATAAATAACTTTGTAGTCTTTCTGTTCTTCAAACCTGCAGGACGACTCAACCTGAACAGAAATATGTTTCAAGATTTCTTTGACTGTTTATTGCTCTTATTAGAGAGAGGGGATGGAGTCAGAGTGGGGAATGACATGCGGCAAAGGAGCCACAGGTTGGATTCAAACCCGGGGCTGCCCACTTTAAGGACCACAGCCTCTGTACATGGGGCACACCAACTAACCACTAGACCGCTGGAACCCCAGAAACTAGTGTTTTAAAACCAAACGTACATCTTTTTGGACAGGTTACTATGGTAGCAACCTTAAGCCCGCCCTGATTGGAGGTTAAGAAGGTGAAGCCAGTTAAGACCATGTGGCTCTCACCGATACCCACCTCCTACAGCAAAGCAGCTGAGAGAACAACTCATGTCAGTAGGAAAGGCCTGTGTTACTTCTCAGCCGACAAGATTTTAAGAACTAAAATCCTCAAATTGTACATTTATTTTTAGATTTAGTGTTTTTTTCCTATCTTCCATGTTATTCTGTTAAGAATTAGATCTGTCGGGGGCGCAGGTAACATAGGGGTTAGTGTGCACGCCCTATGTACAGAGGCCGCGGCCCTCCAAGCGGGCGGCCCGGGTTCTTTTCCGCTTGTCAATCCCCGCTCTATCTCTGACACTATCCACTCTCCTGTCGCTGTAGTAAAGGCATAAAAATTTATTTATTTGACTTCTTCCTCTTCCACAGCCTACCATAACCCCATCCCCGCCCCCAGTATCCCAGCCTGCACCAGTAGGTAACCACAGTCCTCACCTCCCAGCACAGCTAACCCCCGCAGCAGCGCCCGAGCAGAGCAGGAAAGCCGGACAGAACTTCAAGTGTCTGTGGCCGTCCTGTAAACGGTACGTCATGGAGACGAGCTGTTTCTCATTCATTACTATCACAAGCGCTAAAGCTCCTGCTGATCGTTTTTGTTTTGTTTTGTTCTTCAGGTGGTTTGAAACGCCGTCTCAGGTGTTTTACCACGCAGCGACGCAACACGGCGGGAAAGGCGTGTACGGAGGTCACTGTCTGTGGGAGGGGTGTGACTCTTTCCCCCGGCAGAGACTGTCCTTCATCACACATCTACAGGTGAGACCCCCTCCGCCTCCAACAGCTTTTTATTTTTACAGGTTTTTTTTAATCAATGTTGCAACATAAACAGGAAGTTATAACTCCAGGAAAAACCACAGAACAAGCTGGTTCCTAATGGTTTGCGCTCTTTCTCTTCCAGGACAAACACTGTTCTCGAGAGGCTCTGCTGGCTGGACTCAAACTGGAGGAGCAGCAGGCGCTGAGTCCCAATCAGACTTCTTCCCAGTAAGAGCACATTTCTCTTCAACTTTCTTTCTTTCCATTATTGATGCCTGAAGTTACAATTTAAA